GCACGGGGGGCCCCGCCCGGGGGGGCGGGGGGGGGGGGTGGGTACAAGGGGCCAGAGAGGTTCCCCGCTCCGTTAGGCACCCGATGAATAAAAGATGAGCGAGCCCCGTCTCGCGAGCACCTGCCGTCCCCCGCCCTCGGCACCCGCTGTCCCCCCGCGCTGGCAGGCGCCGTGCCCTCCCCGGGGCCGCAGTTGCCATCCTGGCCGGGTGCCCGGCTTCGTGCTGCGCTGGCAAGGGACAGCTGGGGCAGCAGATGCCCACGGTGCTCCCTCCCGCCGGCGGCCGTGGGCACGGAGGGGCGAACAGATGTCGGCAAGCCCCCGGCGTGCCCCTGCACCCCCGTGCGGGGCTGGCATTGCCAGCTGGGGCCTGGGGTCCCCTGCCACGCTGGCCCCTGCGCTGGGGTCTTGGCCAGCCCTGGGGAGGGCTTGAACCTGCCTCCCCGCGTGGTGGTGAGCCGGGGGTGATGTTGTGGGGTGCCAAGGGGGGCCATGGTGGGGGCCCGTAGGACTCTAGAAGGGGGCTGGCTGTGCTGTGGGGCTGTGCTGGGCTGTGCTGCGCTGTGGGGCTGGGGTTGGTGGGGCAGCAAGATACTGGCAGCATATTTCCCTTTCCCCGTCCCTGTCCCTTTCCCTTTTTTTCCACTTTCATTTCTTCCTTCCTTTTTTTTCTTCCTCCCTTCCTTCCTTTCTCTCTTTTCTCTCTCCCATCCGTCTCTCCTTCCTCTCACCCCCTCACAGCAGCTGCACCCCCAAGTGCCCCCAGCCCAGGGCGCAGGGGCTGGGTGCCAGCACCTCGCAGCGGGAGGGTCCCAGGGAGGGAGGAGGGGGGGAGGCTCAGCCATCCCTTTGTCTGCCCCGCTCTCCCCGTCCCTTTGCCCGCTGCCATCTGTCCCCGCTCGCCTCCGCGGGCGCCGGCAGCCCTGGACGGAGCCCAGGCCTGGCAGGGCTGAGCGAGGGGGCGGCCGCGCCGCCCGCCTGGGGGGGTTCCCCCCGGCCGCTGCCATCTCCCCGTGCCGGCCGGGGTCGGCCGAGGACAAACCCGCTCGGCTCCCAGCGCCGCTCGCTCGCAGCCGTCGGCCAACGTGCTCTCCCCTCCCAGGCTCCCGCCCGGGCCAGCTGGCCGCGGCCGGCGTACGTGGCAGCGGGGCGCGTCCGTCCCCCCCCGCCACCGCCCCGCCACCTCGGGGGATGCCTCCGGCCAGGACCTCCCCGGGGCTTCGCTCGCCGGGGGGAGCAGAAGCTGCCGCCCCCGCGAGCGCTCGTGGCTGAGGCCCAGCAAACTCATCTCACCCCGGGCATGGCGGGGGGTGCCGGGGGGGGGGGGAGCGGGGCGTTGTGAGGAGCAGGGAGGAGGGGTCCCGCGCCCCGGCGCGCCGGCCGGCCCGGCTGAGCCAGGATTTACCCGGCACACGCGGCGGTTCAGGGTATTATATAAAGGAGGTTACACAAGCGGGACTGTTCCGGGTTTATGTAAGGGCCACCCCAGCCTGGCGGCAGCGGGATGGGCAGTGGGACAGGCAGAGCCGCTCGGACCTGGGGGGCCACTGTGGGACTGGGAGATGCTGGGGGTCTGACAGGGCCCTCCCGATTCACACCCCTCCCACCCCAGCCCTCGCAGTGGGATCACTGCCCCACGGCACTCTGGCTCCCTCAGCTCTCCAGGGGTCTCCCTGACCAGACAGGGTCCCTCCCTGGCAGCTCCTGACCAGACTGTTCACTCTGGGCCCCACTGACTCCCGCTGTGGGGAAGGTGGCTGGACACGCACCTGAGGAGGTGCCGAGGCTGCGCGGCCACCAAGCATCAGGCGGGGGGGGGGCAATTTGCCCCCAAAGCCAGCCCCAAGGGAAACTGAGGCACGGGGCAGGAGCCTGCAGGCAGCGATGGTGAACCCTCGTCCATCTCCTGCCCTCGGCTGGCAGGGCTGGAGGAGGAGGAGGAGGAGGAGGAGGAGGAGGAGGAGGAGGAGGAGGAAGGCTGCTGCCCTCATCGGGGGGCTGGGGCCGCACCCAGCGGCGCCAGCAGCTCCCCCAGCCCCCATCATCCCCCCGCCTGTGCGCCTGCGCCCACAGCGCTGCCGGTAACACCGTGCCCTGTTACCGTCAGCGCTCGGGCACCGAGCCAGGGCTCTCCCGCAGCTGCGCCAGCCCCGGGGGGCACCCGGCCTGCAGTGACACCCCCCAGGGCCGTCCCCGCTGCCCGGGGGTCGTTCCCACGCGCCGAGGCCGCGGGCGGGTGCCGCCGTGGGGCCGGGGGCACCCTGCCAGCCAGCGGGGCCGGGGTGCGGGATCCATAATTCAATGGGTGGCACGGGGCCAGGCTGCCAGCGCGGCCCGGAGCCCAGGCACCCGCTCCCCCCCCCCCCGGGCACACACTTGGCTATTTTTGAAAGCGATTGGATCGACCTGTTCGGGCACTCAATGCTCTCCTCCGCCGTGGCGGGGGGGACCCTGGCACTGAGCCCCCCCCTCCCCGAGCTCCCCGCAATGTGGCACCAGGGCCCCCCCAGCTCCGTCCCCCATCCCGGCCCCAGCGGGGTGCGGAGGGTGCAGGATCAGTGAGGCGGGTAAGGAGGGGCTTCACAGGCTTCTTTCTCCTTCACGGTGCAGCCGAGCCACTTGTTGGGTCCTGGATTTGGTGCCCCCCCCCAAAAACGCCCCTTGGGGGGAGCGAGGAGGGGGGAGCCCAGGGCTCCCTTCGCCATTTTAGCGCACGCCAGCCGCAGGCAGCCATCACATGGCGGTGAGAGCAGCGCTTGGCCCGGCCGCCCCGCGCCGAGGAGGCAGCCAGAAATCTGCTGGCGAGCTCGCCCGCCCAGCCACGAGGATCGCCCGCAGCCGGGGGTACCGAGCCCGCGGCCCCGGCCTCGCCGCCTCCACCGGCGGGGACACCAGGGTGCAGGGAGGGGCTGCTCCTGCTGCCAAACCTCGGAGCTCGGGAAAGTCCCCGGTGCTCCTCGGGCTGCCGTGGGTGGGACTGGGGTGCTGGGCTTGGGGGCAGGCCCTCGAGGTGCCCCCCCTGGGAATGGGGTGGGTGGCGTGGCATCGATGGTGCTGGGTCGGGGGGATGCTGTGGGAGGGTGTGGGGGTAAAGGGACATGGGGAGCACCCGGGGGGTGCTCAGGGTGAGTGGTGGCCCTACTGGGTGCCCTGGGGGAACGGAGGCCAGGCTGGGGTGGTTTGGGGGGACAAAGATCCATGCGGGCCATCTCGGTGTGAGCAATGGTGGGGGGTCCCTGGGCTGAGCCGAGGGCTGTGTGGGGCACCTCAGAGCCACCGGGTGAGTGCATGGCCTGGGGGGCTGCCGAGAGAGTGAAGACCCCAGGATTGGGCAAGTGGGTGCCATCTGGGGGGCAAGCGTGGCACCGGGGAGCCCTGAGGCCACGCTGGGGGGCTGTGGGGAGCCGAGCCGGCCTCGGGCTGTGACCGCCAGCCTCCGCCCCGCGCCTTGGCCAGGCTCCACCACTAACCACTTCCAGAGCCGCCGCCAGATTTGTTGTTTTTAGAGGCGAGGAGGGGCCATGTCCGGCCACGCGGTGCCCGTGGTCGTGCGGGGGGTCCCTCCACCACTCCCCCGTTCCCAGAGGGTTTGTGCCATGCTCGGTGCCACCGCCCGCTCCCCCAAACGCTCGGGCACGCGGCAGCTTCAAAATGGGGGAAAGAGGGAAAAAAAGAAAAATGGAGAGAAACGGGAGGGGAAAAACCCCTGCACCCGTTCCCGGGGGAGTCTCTGCTCCCTAAAATGGCTGCCTGGAGGGAGCCAGGGCTGCGGACACGGGGGGACTGGTGGCAGGGTGCCACGGGGCTGCCGGCGTGAGCGGGGTGCCAGGCTGGCACGGGATGGGTGGAGGGGAACGCGGCAGCTGGCCAGGGAGACAAAATGGCTGATTCGGCGTCAGTGTTGAGCAGTCCCGGGGCGGGTGCGGGCACATGGGAGTGCTGGGGTGGGAGGTGGCGTGGGGGGATGTCAGGGTGGGGAGTGGCACAGTCCCACTGCCCGCACGGATAACCTGCCCGGTGGGCAGCACGCAGAGGTGTCGGGGTCGGGGGGGGCACGGTGCTGCTGCCCACAGGGTTAACCTGCCCAGCCAAGGATAACCACCCCGGGAGCCACGTGAGCACGAGAGACTCAAGGGAAGAAAGGAAAAGGGGGAGAAAAAGGGGGAGAAAGGGAAAAATCCCAAGGCGCACAGGTGGGCTGGCAGCGGCGGCAGCGTGGTTTTGATGGTGTTTTTGGATTGTCTCAGCCCTTTCCTGGCATCTGCCAAGGCTGCGAAAGAGAAATGCCGAAGGCCAAGGGGTGGGAGGAGGAGCAGGAGGAAGGAGGAGAAGCTGAGAAAATGCAAGGCAAAAGTTTTGGAAGGGCTTTGGGAGCAGCCAGGTGAGGAAGGATGCTCCTGAGCGCGGCGGCTGTGCCGTGCTGTGCCGTGCCAGGGGGTGCCGGGGCCGCTGAGCTCAGCGTCTGAGCCAGGTTATTTTTAGCCAGGATGGAGCGGTGCCGGATGGGGCTCCAGGGGTCAGAGCAGGTGCTGCCCTGGAGCCCTGCTGCCCTCCGGAGGGCTTGGCAGAGGCAGGACGAGGTGCCACAGGTGATGCCATGCTGTGGTGACAGTGCCCAGTGGGGCGACGATGGATCACAGATGTGGCTGGAGGGAGGAGAGGAGGCAGGAGGGCAGGAGCGGGGCCAGGGACCATCACTCTGCCCCGAGGGCAGGTCGAGCACTGGGGGTTTCCCTCCTGCAGGGAGCAGTGCCCAGATCCTGCAGTGCCACCACAATGCCCTGCCTGCTCCTGTTGCTGGCAGGGAGGCCGAGGTGGTGCCACTCAGTGGCTGTTCCCCAGTGCTGGGGACGTGCCAGCTCAGTGGTGGCCCTCCTGTGTGGTGGGAGCTGCCCGTGCCTCAGTTTCCCCCCATCAGAGCAAGGAGGGGGCAGTCAGCTGGGGGGCAAGCCCAGCTCCCACCAGCACGGGGCTCACCCCGGGGGGTTTTCCTCTTGCAGATGCAGAGCAGAGCAGCAGCCCCCGGACAGGCATCGGCTCGGACCAGGAGGACAGCAAACCCATCACGCTGGGTGAGCAGGACAGGCAGGGCTGGGGCCAGGGGACGAGGGACACCCCAGCCCAGGGTCCCTGCCATGGAGGGGCCCCCTTGACTGGCGGTCGTGCCCCCCGTGCTGTGGCTCTGGTGCCCCCCAACCCCAGCCAGGAGTGCCGGGCACCTTCAATGAGCTGGGCATGACCTCAGCCTTGTCCCACAGCCAGCTGGAGCCACGTCCCTTGGGGACAGCAGCTGCCATGGGGGTCCCATGATGGGGGTGCAGCCCCCAGCCCTGCCAGGACTCTCAGCCACAGGGAAACCAAGGCACAGGGCAGCTCTGGGGTGTCCTTGGCAGAGAGGACCAGTCAGAGTGGTCTCTTGCTGGATCAGGGAGTGGAGTGGAGGCTGAAGACAGGGGCAGGTGGGGATTTGGGGATGTTGGGGTGCCCTCAAGCATCGCCACAAGGCAGTGCAGGATGGGAGGGGTGGCCCTGTTGCCCCCTCAGCGCTCTCTCTTCTCTCCTGCACAGATTCCACAGACTTCCAGGAAAGCTTCGTCACCTCGGGGGTGTTCAGTGTCACCGAGCTCATCCAGGTGTCCCGAAGTGAGTGTCACGGTGATGCCACAGCCCACCCCCCTGGCTGCCCGGGCACAGCAGTGTCCCAAGGGCTCCCCTCCCTGCCAGGCCCCCCTGACCCCCCTCTCTCCCCACAGCGCCGGTGGTGACGGGCACGGGGCCAAACTTCTCCCTGGGGGAGCTGCAGGGCCACCTGGCCTACGACCTGAACCCCTCCAGCACTGGCATGAGGAGGACGCTGCCCAGCACCTCCTCCAGCGGGTGAGTGCCACCAGGGCTGTGCCAGGGTGACACCAGGGCAATGCCAAGGGGATACCAGGGCCAGACCGGGCACAGCCATGGGGAAGGTGGGTGTGCTGACCCACGACAGGCTGGGAGAGCTGGGAGTGTTCAGCCTGGAGAAGAGAAGGCTCTGGGAAGACCTGAGAGCTCCTTCCAGTGCGTAAAGGGGTTCCAAGAGAGATGGAGAGGGACTTTATACAAGTGCCTGGAGGAACAGGACAAGGGACAATGGCTTCCCACTGCCAGAGGGCAGGGTTAGATGGGATATTGGGAAGGAATTCTTGGCTGTGAGGGTGGGGAGGCCCTGGCACAGGTTTCCCAGAGCAGCTGTAGCTGCCCCATCCCTGGGAGTCTCGAAGGCCAGGTTGGATGGGGCTTGGAGCCACCTGGGCTAGTGGAAGGTGTCCCTGCCCATGGCAGGGGGTGGGACTGGATGGGCTTTAAGGTCCTTCCAACCCAAACCATTCCATGATTCTGTGACCCTTCCCTGCCCTCAGGAGCAAACGGCACAAGTCGGGGTCCATGGAGGATGACATTGACACCAGCCCGGGGGGCGAGTACTACACCTCCTCCAACTCCCCCACCAGCAGCAGCCGCAACTGGACAGAAGACATGGAAGGGGGTAGGTGTCACCTCCTCACTGGGGCCCTCCCGCTGTCCTTGGGCCCCATCCTGCTCCCAGCATTCCACAGGCACCACTGCCAGACCCCCCTGTGACCACCCAGCACTGTCTGTGCCCCGGTGTCCCTATGGGCCCTCAGGTCACAGCACACGCTGGCTGTGGAGGATGTGGTGTCGCCCTCGAGCCCCCCAGAACATCCCTGATTCTCGCTGGGGTCTGTGGGGTTGCTGTAGAGCCCCCTGATTTAGGCACGGGCTCTCCATGGGTGCCCAGGTGCCTCCGTAGCCCCCCACTTTGGGCATCGGCTCCCTTTGGGGTCTGCAGGGTTGCTACAGAATCCCCCCATTTTGGCACAGGCTCTTGCTATAGGGCCATCTCAGCCTCCAGCCCCACAGCAGCCTCCCCCAGCCCCACAGCAGCCTCCCCCAGCCCCACAGCAGCCTCCCCCAGTCCCACGCTATCTCCCCCAGCCCCACGCCGCTGTGGACAGCTTTCTGGCTTGGCGGTTTTTTTCCCTTTCCTGTCTAGACAGCCCCAATTAGCTGTTCATTAAGAAAAGGGGGGGCTGGGCTAATTAAAGCGATGCTGCAGGGCTGGCACAGCAGCTCCCACGCCCCGAGGTGCAGGCGAAGGAGCTGCTCCTCTTCCTCCCCCCCCCAGATCTTCTGCTGCCTCCCCCAGCAGTGGGATGGGCTCTGCAGCAGCCCCCACGCCCTGCCAAATCCTTGGGGTGCCCAGCTGGGGGGGGCTGGGGCTATGGATGCTCTTGGGGGGTGGTTTGGGGGAAGCAGGTCCAGCCCCAGGGCTGTGCCCCGTGTGCATGGGGGGCGTGCCCCATCCTGCCCCATGGGGCTGGTGATGGAGGGCAGACAGGGGGGCAGAGGTGGTCCTGGGGAAGGTGTAACCCCCTCCCTAAAGCAGTGCATGGAGGATGGAGGGAGCCGTGCCAGGGTGTCTGTCCCCACCGGTGGCCTGACCCGGGCAGGGGTGAGGGGGGCCGGCAAGGGGGGCACAGCTGTGGCATCAGGGAGAGGGGAGGGGGTTGGCAATCCCGTACGGGATGTTCTGGGAAATCCTCCTAACGCCCGGCTGAGAACGAGCTAAACCCATTACCGGGCCCGGGCCAAATGGCCGGAGCTAAAGCCACGGCGGCGGGGGATTAACGCGCCCGCCGCCCCCCCCCGCCCGGCCCCTGCCCCGCCGTGCCCTCGGGCACCCGGGCACACGGTGCTTCCAGGGGTCACCCCTCCAACGGCACCTTCCACCCTCCCCAGGAGCTCCTGTGGCCCCCAGCCCCCTGTGCCAGGAGGGGTGGGTGCCCAGTGGAGGCTGCAGGGTCACGGGGGGGCACATGTGAGGGCACCCACTGCTGCACCCGAGGTGGGCAAACACACACACAGACACACAGACACACAGACACACACACAGAGCTGTGTGCACCCACAAGCACATGTGTGTGCGCTTGCACACACAGATGCAGCACTTGTGTACATGTAACACAAGTGCATGTACACACACACGGGTGCGTGCAGCCCTGCTGGTGCACACACATGATCGTGTTCACATGCACACCACGTGCATGTGCACAGGTGTGTGTGCACACTTGTGTGCTGGAGCACACACACACACACACACACACTTATGCCACACACCCTCCCCATGCCCACCTTGACCCCTTGCCCCCGAATGAGCTTCCCAACCCTGCACTGGACTGGCGGCAGCCCCAGGATTTGGGGTCCTGCAGCGGGTCCTGACTCTGCACCCACGTTCCCCAGGCATCTCCCCCACCGTGAAGAAGACAGAGATGGACAAGTCCCCCTTCAACAGCCCATCACCCCAGGACTCCTCGCCTCGGCTGAGCAGCTTCACGCAGCACCACCGTCCCGTCATCGCCGTGCACAGTGGTGAGTGTCCCGCTGGGGAAGCCGAGGCACGGAGCGAGGGCCGAGCGGGCAAGGGGCTGGGGGAGCTGCCAGCGAGTGACACAGGTGTGTGTCCCCTTTTGCTGTCACCTGCAGGTATCGCCCGAAGCCCGCACCCATCGTCTGCGCTGCATTTCCCCACCACCTCCATCCTCCCCCAGACGGCCTCCACCTACTTCCCGCACACGGCCATCCGGTACCCGCCTCATCTCAACCCGCAGGACCCGCTCAAAGATCTCGTCTCGCTGGCCTGCGACCCGTCCAACCAGCAGCCCGGACCGGTAAGGACCCAGCCCCGCTCCCGCACCCATTGCCCACCTCGCCGCGGGCACCGGGAGCTGCTGCCAGCCGGGCTGCCCGAGGAGGGTCCCCTGGACCGGCTGCCACCACCACCATCACCGCCACCGCCGCGCTGGGGAGTCGGGGTGCTCGGATGGTGCTGTGGGGTGTTTGCTGGGGCTGAGCTCCAGCCTTGCCGTGCGTCAGTTCGGGACCGTTGTTGCTGCGCCTGCTCCATGTTGGCACCGTGTTCCTCCAGGGATGGAAGTGCCATTCCCCGGCTCAGCACGGGGCACCAGAGGTGTTGGCGTACTGGGGCTGAGCTGTCAGCCGGGGTTTGGGTGTATGGTGGGAGCAGGGGGACTGGCAGGGGTGTGTGACATCGCCCAGAGCCACCAGCGTGCCCGGGAGAGCGACGGGCTCGGCGTCCCCGACCGCCTGCGCAGCCCACGGGTGACCCGTCAGCTCCTCACTGCGCCGTGTCCCAACGTCCCCACGGGGGTGGCAGGGCCACACTGTGCTGCTGTGGGCCTTCCTTTGCCCCAGCACCCCACACACCCGACATCCAACAGACACAGCACCCCACACCTCACACACACAGCACTCCTCACACACTGCACCCACTGCACCCCACACACCCAGCACCCCACACCCCACGCAACCAGCACCTTGCACATGCAGCACCCAGTGCATGCAGCACCCCAAGCCATCACCCCACACGCCCAGTACCCCAGGTACTGGGGGCCAGGGGTGTCTGCATTCCTATTTCCATGGCCCTCCCGTGCCCCACTCTGTCCCCCTGGATGCACAGCTCTGGGGGAGCCCCTCTGACTTCTGCCCACCACCCATCTGTCGCCCCTCACTGGTGAGGTCTGATGCCAGGATGAGGGGCATGGCTGCTATTCCCCCCTGCAGTGGCCCAGTGCTGGGCTGATGGACACCGGACCGGGAGCAGCCACTGTCGAGTCGGGCACAGGGCACTGCCAAGGAGCCTTTGAAGGCCCCTGTGTGCCCCTGGCAGCACTTCAAAGGCTCCCCTGCTGCTGCAGAGAGGAGGGTCCAGCGCCCCAACTCCAACGTGTGCCACCACGGGGCACGGTCCCCATGGGGCGTGGCCCCCACAGCCCCCCGGACCCTCCTGCCCCGCTGTGATTTCCCACCTGCCGCCGGCGCCGACCGTTCAGGGCTGCTCTGAGACCCACCAAACTCATGTGTGCAGTGAGGGATGCCCCGTGCCCGTGCCGGGGGGCTCCCCGGGGCTCCCCGGCCGTGCTGCTGTGTGCCTGCATCCTAATGGCTTTGTGCTGTTTGTTTTTTGTCTGTGTTGTCCCCAGTTAAATGGAAGTGGTCAAGTGAAAGTGCCCAGCCACTACCTGCCCACGCAGATGCTGGCGCCGCCACCTCCCCCCGGCATGCCCCGCTTGGCCGTCTCTCCTGACACCAAATCCACCACGACAACTTCCGAGGGAGGGACGACCTCGCCGACATCACCCAGTAAGCACCCGCGGCGCCCACCCCGCTCCCCGGCCCGGCCGGCCCCCTCCTCTCGCAGCCCCCCCAGGGTGTCCCCCCTGTCCCGGTGCTGGGGGGATGTTGGCGGAGGTGGCCTCCCCGCAGCCGGGGAGAGGGCGGCAGCTGGCACGCCATGAGTTTGCTGGGTCTCAGGCAGGTCGGAGCGGGCAGGGTTTTGTGGTGGCCGCCCATCAAGGGGGGGTCCCGTGCTGGTCCCAGGGACCAGCCCGAGCCCCACCTCCCTCTGAGCACAGCTGAGCCCCCGTGGGGCTCCCCAGACCAGTGTCCTGCCCCATGCCCTGGTGTGGGCAGTGCCGTGGGGAGGCTGTGGCCTCTCTGTGGCTGTCACCTCACTGCAGTGGTGGCAGTGATGCCCGGGACCCGCTGGCCCGCGGGTGGCACTGGGACTAAGAACAGTGTGCCTGGTGCGCCGTGTGGGCTGTCGTCCTCTCGCTGCCACGGGGGTCCCTGGTGCTGGGGACCCCGGTTTGGTTGGGGATGTGAAGTGACGCCGGTGCAGGGACTGCGTGTGTGACCCCCGGAGCGCTTGGCTGGTGGCACCTGGGGGTCTTCGTCAGTGTAGGGGCTGATGAACTCTTGCCCTCCACTCCTCCTCAGGGGCCATTGGCGCCTTGGCCGGGAGGATTTTGGGGCGCTGGGCCCAGGGACCAGAGGGGAGCTGGTGTTGCCCCCAGACTGGCACTGGGGCACGTGCTGTGGTGGTGGTGGGACGCTGTGCCATCACTGCACTCTGTGAGGGGGTTGTCCTTGTTCCTGCAGTGCCAATGGGAAACTGGCACCCTGAGTGGCTGCCATGTCCCCACAGGGTCGAGTCCTGCAAGATGCCACTGTCCCCGGGGAACAGGCCACAGCAGGGTGCCACCAGCTGGCCGTCTGCTGTGGCGGCCCTGTGGCGTGGAGGACACAAGGCATGGCCGATCTGGAGGGGACCTGGGACATGGCATGGGGTGTCCTGGCCAGTGATGGGCTCACAGCCAGGAGGAGGGACGGAGCAGTGCCGGTTCCCCCAGGCTCTTGACAGGATGTGTTTGGAGGACGCTGGTTGTCCCCAAGGGGTACAGCTGGCTCCAAGTCCCCCTTCCCCTCTGGCAGCACTGCGCCTCTGAAGGGGCTGAGCCCAGGAGCTCAGCGGGGCTGGGGGTCCCACTGCTGGACCCTCAGCTGGGAGGTGGAGGTGACGATGGAGTGACACATCCGAGTGGAGCGGGTGGCTCCCATCACACTGGCCCCGTGGCAGCTCAGCTCAGGAAGCCACAGCGTGGGCACGGCAGGGAGCACCCGTCTGTGCCCGCGCCCCATGGCACCGCGCCCCCAACCTGCCATCACCCCGAAACTGCGGGCGGCACCGACCGGGCACAGCACCCCAGGGGCACAGCACCCCTGGGGCACAGCACCCCTGGGGCACAGCACCCTGGGCTCCGCTCACCTGCCGTCAGGCCACAGCCAGGGACGGTGCCCAGGACTCCTGTCCCAGCAGCGCCAGGGAGAGGGCCGGGCCTGGCCCCGGGGGGGACGATGGCAGTGCCACCCACAGCCCCGTTAATGAGCTCTCGTTTGTTCCCCAGCCTACTCTGCACCAGGCACGCCCCCTGCGAACCGTACCTTCGTGGGATTAGGACCAAGGGATCCTGGGAGTATCTATCAGGCACAGGTGAGAGCGGGGATGCTGCTGGGGGGACACTCCTGCCCTCACCCCGGGCACCCTCGCCATGGCATCACCGTGGGCATCACCGTGGGCATGGCCAGTGCAGGCATCACCATCATGGCTGTCGCTGCCATGACATTGCTGACGTGGGTAGCCCCACTGTGGCATCCTCACCGTGGCATCACTGCCACTGCCGTGGCATTGCTACCCTGGGCATTGCTACCATGGCATCACTGCCGTGGCATTGCTGCCATGGGCATTGCTGCTGTGGGCATCGCTGACAGCATCACTATCGTGGGCATTGCCACTGTGCCATCGCTGCTGAGGGCAGTGCCACTGTGGGTATAGCTTCCCTGGGCATCACTGCTGTGGTATTGCCACCATTGGCACAGCCATTGCAGGCACTGCTGTTGTGGGTGTCCCCACCATGGCATCCCTGCCAAGGCATTGCTGTAGTGGCATCACTACCATGGGCGTTGCCACCATGGGCATCACCACTGTGGGCATCACTGCCATGGACACCATCACTGTGGGATTGTTTCCTCGTGCAGTGCCACCATGGCCATCGCTACCTTGGCACTGCAGCTCTGGCACTGCTGCTGTGGGCTTTGCTGCTGTGGGCATCACTGCCTTGGCATCACCACTGTGGCCCTGCTCCCATGGGCATTGCCACAGTGGCATCCCCACCATGGGCACCCTGTGCCAGAGCCTTGGGCACTGCTGGTGGCTCAGGGCCACCACGAGTCCTTCAGAGGGAGGTCACTGCCATGCTCCGGTTGTGCCCTGCCTGGCACCACCTGGCACCACCCTGTCCAGGTGCCCACAGCATCCCCAAAGTAGGAGCACCAGGACTGTGTGCCCCCCTCCATGTGGGCACAGGCCTCTGCCCTTGCCCAGCTGTGCCCGTGGCTGCTCCCGCTGCACTGGGATGTCGTGTGCGCCTTTCCAGGGGCTTCCCGGTAGTCCCAGGTGTTTTCTAACCGGTGTTTTGGGAGCCAGCCCTGGCAGTGCAGGCAGTGCCGTGGTGCCAGGGCAGGGGTGCCAGCTCCCAGCCTCACCTGTGACACGAGTGGTTTGTACTCAGCAGTCCCTGCACGGGCAGGAGAGGTGGCTGCAGCCTTGCCCGGTGGGTGACAAGGTGACAGTACAACAGGATGGGGGTGTGGATGGTGCTGTGCTGGGGCACCCTGGGGTGCTGCCCTGGCTGAGGGGGAGTACTCAGGGTGCTGAGCTGTGCCAGAGCGTGGGCACTTGGGGACTGTGAGCTGTGCCACAGGGCACCCGAGGGTGCTGTGCTGTGCCAGGGTGCGATATTTGGGGACCATGGGCTGGGACACTTGAGCGTGCTGTGCCGTTCCAGGGGACAAACACTGGGGACCCGGCTCTGACCACAGCCCCCGCCCTGCCTCAGTTTCCCCAGTCCTACACGTGGGCAGAGCAGCGTGGGGTGGGCACCCCGAGGGCGTTGGGTCCCTAAAAAGGAGAGCTGGGGCAGTGCTGGGAGAGCCTCAGGGGAGCAGGGGGCTGCCAGGGTCCCTGTCCGGACCCGGGGGTCACGGCCGTTTGCAGTCCCAGGACCTCCAGGTGTCCCTGTCCCTGTGTGTGGGTGTCCAGTCACACTCCAAGAGTCTCCCCAGGGCTCACGGTTGCCCTGCCTGGGGAAACTGAGGCACGGGGGAAGGAGGTGGTGCCCCGGGATTGGCAGCTGAGACCTGCCACGCTCTGGTCATGTGTGGCAGGGCCGGGAAGGGTTAAGGGAAGCAGCGGCCCCGAGCTGTCTCGTTTCCAACGGAAACCAGACATGAGGTAATCGGGAATGAACTTGAACTTGGGGCTGGGGGGGAAACAATGGGAGGGTGGCGGGGGGCCACCCCGCGGGGTCCCCAGCTGTGCCACCCCCCTACCTGTCCCCGAGCGGCACCGTTCCCTGGGCAGCGTCGCCTTTGCCGCGGAGGCGCAGAGGGACCGGCCACCGAGGGGGAACGCGAGCGGCCGCCGTGCTGAGGACGGATAAACTCAGTGCGGGAGTGGGGACTCCGGCCCCGTGCGCCGAGCAGGGGACAGCACGGGGACAGCTGTGCCAGGGCGGGGCGGGACCGGCCGGGGACGGAGCGGCTCCGCGGGGCAGAGCACTAACGCCGGCCTCTCTCCTCTCTCCCGGCAGTCCTGGTACCTGGGATAACCGCCGCCGTGCCGCCCCTTCGCCTCCCTTCTCCTCTGCTTTAGGCACCCCCAGAGGAACATCCCCGTCCCCGAGCACCAGGCCCAGCCTTGCGGTGACGACGGAGAGCGCGGCCTCACGACGACGACGACGACGACGACAAGCAAAACCCACACCCGAAGGAAAGAGCGAGGGAAAGGAAGAAGGAAAAGGGTCAAACTGTTTTAAAAAGGAAACAAACAAACAAACAAAACAACAACCCATCCCAGGAGGACCTTGCCCCCCACACACCCCGGCGATGCGCCAGAAAACAAAGAAACAGGAAAAAAAAAAAAAAAGAAAAGAAAAAAACACTATTATTTACCCCGTCGGCCGGCGCCGCGCTGAGACCTGACACAACTCGTGCCAGCAATGCCTCCCGGAGCGGCTGCAGGGCCGCGCTGCCGAGCCCCGCCGGCCGCTCGCCGGATATGCAAACGGCTTTGACTCTCTCGTTCTTGCCTCTATGTGAGTAGAAAAGATCAAAAAAAAAAAAAACCCTCCGCCGCCCCCCCCGGCCCCACGCAGACTCTCGGGGGGCCCCGGGGCTGGGGCGCGGCGGGGCGGGCTGAGGGGACCCTCCTGCCACCCGAGCCCCGCGGAGCGGCTGCGCCCGCGGTCAGGGCGGGTGATGCTCCGTGCCGTGACAGCGCCCCGGGGGTGGGTGGCATCGTGCTGCGGTGACACGGTGGCACGAGCGGGTGTCACAGGAGGAGGGGGCTTTTGGCCGCGGAGGGTGCGCGGGCGCGGCCAGAAACGGTTGCGGTGGCGGTGACACCCCGGTCCCCGCGGGGACACAGCGTGGGGACCGTCCCGGCTCGGCCCCGACAGGACCCGGGCGGCCACCGTCACTCCGGGGCACGGGTCGCCGTCTCTCTGGTCGCCTTCCTCCCCCCCCCAGCCCGCAGCAGCCCCGGCCCCGCGTGTCCCCACGCGTGTCCCCGTGTCCCCCGACGTGTCTCCCGGCGTGTCCCCGCGGCCGGGGGGGGGGCCCGTGGGGCCGGGGCGGGGGGGCCCGTGCGTCCGTGTGTTTGAGCTATGCATTCCTGTGGACAGGTACCAGGTGGGAGGCAGGAGAGGGTGCGCTCGTGTTGCACATTTTGTAGGAAATGCACTTTTAAGAGGGAATCGTCAAAAAAAAAAAAAAAGAAAGAGAAAAGAAGAAAAGAAAAAAGAAATCACAAAAAAGGAGGAGGAAGAGGAGGAGGAGGAGGAGGAGGAGGTGGAGCCCCCGGCACTGGCTTGTCGGGACGGCTGGTTTGGGGTTTTTTGGGCTTTTTTTTTTTTTTTTTTGGATACAAAAGGATGGAGCAAAGGAGCCCGAGCGAGGGCGAGGGCAGAGCCAGCCCCCCGGAGCCCCCCCGGAGCCCCCGGCCCCGCGTCAAGTGCCTAAACTGCGGCGGGGAGGGGTCCCGGCCACCCTGGAGGAGCCCCCGGCCGGGGGCAGCACGGGAGGAAGCCCCCAGCCGTCCCCGCCCCGCGCGGTGGCACTGTGGCCGGGAAGGGGACACAGGGATGTGGCAGTGCCTTAGAGCAGAGGGACCCCCGCGACGGCCCAGGCGAGGAGGAGGAGGAAGAGGACGAAGGCACCCGGTGTCCCCAGCGAGATGGTGGCGGCCGCGGAGGACACCGGTCCCCAAGGGATCCCCCCCGCCCAGGGGACACCCCACGGGCGATGACGGAGAGAAGGCACCGTGGGATGTCCAGGAGCTGGGGATGTCACCGCCACCGCCCGCCTGGCCCCCTCCCCTGGCACCCAGAGCCGCCCCAAGGACCACCGGCATCGCATCCCCCATCCCAGCGGCCCCCCGCTCCCCCCCGCTTCCCACCCCCCGGGACGGCACAGCGAGGCACCGGGAAAGGGCTGACGCAGGAAATCCCGGGAGACAGAAAAATAATCAAAAAGGAAAAGAAAAGGAGAAAACCCACAGGAAAAAAAAAAAAAAGAAAAGAAAAAAAAAAAAGACAACAAAAAGCGCTTGGCAGAGAGGGAAACCTGTTTTTTTTTAAAGATCTGAGAAGAGAAACACATGAAAAAAAAAAAAAAACCACAAAAAGACACACACAAAAAAAAAGACAAATAAACTGCATGGTGCTTTAACAGGATCTGGTGACCTGGCTCAACCCAGCCGCGGCTGGCTGATGCTGTGCATGGCAGACTCTATTAACCGGCTCTACCTTCCCCTTCAGCAAAAGAGCCCACAGAAAAAAAAAACATGGAAAAAAACACTCAAAAAAAAATTGGGAAAAAAAAAAAATAGGCTTCGAAAAAAAAAAAAAACACAAGAAAAAAAATTCCATGTTTTCCTAATTTGCACGAAATTTTATACCACATGATGTGCCTTGCCTTCGAAGCCTAAGTATTACTGGACCCGATATCAGTGCGAGGGAGTCGCTGCATGCCCGGGGCTCCCGGGGGGCCGGGGGGGCCAGGGGCGGCTGCCCCCCCCTCGCCTCCTGCATGGCTTCTTCTCGGCCGGAAAAGTCCCTTTTTCTCTCTATTATTCTTCTTTTTTAGCCGATTTTCCCCCTCAGAAACGTCTTCCAGTTGGTAATACCGATGCATCCTCTGCGCCAACACACCGGAATATGCAATAGCTGCGGGGGGGGGCCGGCCGGGGGGGCGGCCACCCCTTTGCTTTGCCTCTCTTTTCTTTGTTTTCCTTCCCTTTTGGGGGGTTTTTATTTGTTTTTTTTTTCTGCTTCCAGCAACCAAAGGCAGCGAGGCGGGAGGCGGCAGGGACCCCCGGGCCAGAGCCCCCCCAGAACGCTCGGGGGGGGGGAACCCAGTGTTCGGGCGCGGCAGAACGGACGGGGATGTGGTGGGGTCCGTGCGGGGAGGAGCAGGGATGGAGACCCCCATGGCTGGCCCTTACGGGGGGCCACAGCGTCCCACCCCCCCCTTTAGGGGATCCCCGCTTTTTAATTGGTGTTCAATGGGGCGCAGGGCCAGGAGGGCTGAGCCCGGCTGCTCTCGTGACAGGAATGGAACCGTGTGAATGTAGCTGTGCCCCCCCCACCCCGGGCTGGTGTCGGGGGGGGTCACAGCCTCCCCCTCACCCCCATCCCCATCGGCTTCATCCCCGGGGGTCCGGCTGGCGCAGCAGGGAATGGCAGGAGGTGCCCTCTACCCGCTTCTCCCTGCTGTGCCCGCTGCCGAGCAGGGGCCCGACACCCCCAAAAAACCCAGAATTTGCCTTAAAACCCCAGCGTTCCGCCGGCCGGAGGGACCCCCCGCACAGCCCTCTGAGGCTGACGCGGGTCGTGACACCGGTGGGCGGGTGGTACCGGCATCGCTGCTGCTCGGGCATGAAGAAACGTCGTCGTCAACAGTTTTTAAAATTTTTAATTTTAATTTTTTTTTTTTTTTGGGGCCCAAAAGTATTGGGGGGGGGGGGGGGGGGGGGGGTCGCGTCCCGCCGGGTTTTGCCCACCGGTGAGGCTGGTGCGGGGGTCCCCCGGGGAGGGGAACAGCCTTGGGAGCCGCTTCTTTATGCAAGGTGCAGTATTGATTTCTGCAAGGACAATGCAAGGAGGGAGCGTGGGGGGGGGGGGGGGGGGCGTCCAGTTGGGGGGGAGGAATGAAAAATAGAGCTACAAAAACGAGACAAAATTAAAAAAAAAAAAAAAAAGAAGAA